CGTCTTTGACCAAGACCTAGATACACGCATTGTTCGTTACTACCACAATTATGGAAGCTTCTTATTTAAAGTTTCTTTGAAATTATGCTAATTTTGTGTATGTCGATGAAAATTTGGGTTTCCAATGTAAAACTAAATGACCTTTGAACGTCTAAATATAACTATTCTGTCACGCGTCTCGCTAGTGACTGTTACCGGCAGCTACGAATAGATTAGAATAGCAGGGTTATTATGAAATGAAACAACCGGTACTAAGGCAAGCTCGAACGATCGGTATTTGTCGCGCGATCACTATCGCTGGCAACTCGATGACTGTTATTAGTGGTTAAACGAAAATCATCAATATTTGTAAGAAAAATTAGAAAGTTGACAGAAAAAGCTAAATTTCTCTTTGTAAGGAAAAATAACCTTACAGCGTTTCTTGCAAAAATTTCACACTCGAAGTGAGCTGGCTCTTAGACTATAAAATGCCATCGAATTTATTTAATTTTCCATAGAAACTTTTATCGTTTAATACTTTTTCAAACTCATAGCAGGGTAAGTACTGTGGTGGCGATATTGGCATAGTCTGTTGTAATGTGATTCCTGTAATTTGTAGTTAAGATCTTTATGAAAAAATTGGATATGGTTGACATATCTTGGACCTGGCATTCTACCATTTAAAAATTAGCTATAAAAATTTGAATTCTATTAATTTTTTATTGGGGGCAATATGACAACCATTTGAATAATATTAAAGTTAAATCATGGTTAACATGTTCATTATTAATTGTGATGGTATAACAAACAATCCATTTATTAACAATAATTGCACAATTTAGCTGCTTCGACTGCTACACAAAGATTTCTAATAAGGAGGCCGCCTCTCTAACGAAATGGTTAGCATTTCGCATTCCTCTTGTGACACGTCCAATAAAAAACGAATCGATTTTGTACTTTATTTAATTTAGGAACCATGCCATACCAAATACAAATATAATAAAACATGAACAAATAAAAGTAATAATACATATTTTACAAAGGTGAAATTCGGTAATATGTTGGAAAAATAAATTATTATTCGTCAACTGGTCAATTAAAATCAATTTAGAAAAATGTAAAAAGGTGCTTTCCCGTACCGGGAATCGAACCCGAGCCTCCTGGGTGAAAGCCAGGTATCCTAGCCACTAGACCATACGGGATATGGTTGTTTAAGAGAAAAAACTTAATAAATCCTTCATGATAATTCTTACTTTAAATAATGATAATATTATTTCGTCGACTGAATTGTTTTAATATAGTTTCTTAATTGCATACAGACGAAATCACTTAAAGCATGTATATTTAGTTAGTCTTAGTATATGTTCATTAGTCTGAAAAACAAAACCTTTTTTTTATAGTGTGGTCTGGGTAACTCAAGTACAAATTATAAATATATTATCTTTATAAATTAACGTAATTAACAACGTACGAACGTTAACAACGTAGTATGTCTCATATCTTTAAGTTATAACACACATAATATAACAACAATACTGTAATATTTGGCCGCTCACGCCATCTAGTGGGTGACTGTTACATTCTTATAACGTTTTTTTTCTTTTTCTTTAGAATTATACTGTTCCACTAGTATTACACTACTGTCAGAAGATGGCGTTGACATCTATAATATTATTTCGTGACATGATCGTGAAATTCACAACTGACAATAATTAGGTATTCTATTAACTATTATTAATTTATTTATTATGTTATATATATTAAGCACAACAACAAAAAAAATATATTATTGGTGGTATGAAATGATAACAGAGGTCGCTAATTGGTACGGGTAACGGGTACCTACTTCTGTATAGCAATGACTAATAATAATAGTTTTACTTGTGATTTGTACAGTAAGTGCATATGCTTATCTCTAGCTGATTGAGATCCTTTTAGTAGTATCTAAACGCCATTATATACAGCTGTAATCACATATTTGTATTGATCAACATTTTTATTTTTTAGTATTGCTTTGCTAACTTGGGGCGCTGTAAGATTTTTCAAATAAATATATAATAATGCTAAACAATAGCCGTTACGCGTAAATCCTAAATGTCCAATAACTCTATATTTCTGTCGCAATACTATTACTTAAACGCACCATAAACCTTTAAAAAGTTATAAACAACCAAATAAGATTATTGGTTTATTAAGATTTTATCATCTAACCACTTCAACTCCTAAATCCATTCGACCTTTCAACCTCTTGACTAATAAAATATTACTAGCAACACCTAATAACCTATTAAGAAGAATGAATTTAGTGATGTTAAAAGTAGATAGATGGCGTCAACTTTCTTTTAATGTAGGCCTATATTGCATTATTCATGATGCAAAAAATAAACCAAGGACAAGTGATAACAACCTTTGCATTTTCTTAGCACGTATTTTGCAGTTTCGCTTTATTGCAATAACATTGCGTGTTCTGCGTAGCAGTCGGGAAATATGAAAAGTGTTACTTCCGACTTGAAGAAATACATACGCGAAAATGTTCGCGTACGTTTTCGCATGAATTTACCTACAATAACGAGGAGATAGTTACAAGTCTCTTAACAATGTGGACATTTTTAAAAATGATAAATTATTTCGAAAGAATTGTTATTTAGCCCCCAATCGAATCCAGGACCGCTGAGTTTTACGCTACATGAATTGCCCACTCACTTTTAAAACGCGGAGATTCCAAGTGTAATTATTTTCAGCCTCCATAGAACGTAGCATTTTATGTAACAAGTTTATACTCAATTTAAATTTTAAACCATGTATAGACAATAACATAATATCGTTTTGTGTTCGTAGTTTTGTGCTAATCGCTCTTTACAGACAGCGCTTCCTGATTTAAATATCACGTGAAGAATCGTGAATGAACCTTTTATTTACAAGGTTACAATATTTATATCCTTACAATAACTTGACGTTTTTTACAATGCCTTTGGGCGCAAGATTTTTAAGATACCATTGAGCTAAAGCGTCTAAAGCATTCGAATGCTTGCGAATTGCGAAATACTGTATCGATAGAGTATTTCGATTTTGATAATCTATACACGCTTTCCCCACACATCGTATACCTTTGTTTCTTTACATCTCATCATCTCATCCCCAATAGGGGACTAATATTAATATTATTATTACTAAAAATTACTAAAAATTATATTAATAATATTTCGTCTGTTTTTGTATTACATTTAATCATTAATTAAATTCATTTGAAAAGGGCCTTCTGTTAAAACTCTTTAAAATAAATTATGTTTAAATATCAATACAAAACCGATTTTGTAAATTCGTCCATTCCACTTTATGACGATTTTTTCTGAAGACTATTTGTTAATCTATTCAGATTTAATATAATAGTGTAATTACTTAACCTTTAGATTGATTAGCTATTAGTAGAGCGATTAACAAAACATTTTCTATATTAAAGATTTAAATTAAATTAGAATTTACCCCTAGAAGAATGCGAAGGCGACCTCGTGAGCCAAGTTTCAGTATTCAGCTTTCTTACCTATCTCAAGGTTTGACTGTGGGATTAACCGCCACCGTCTAATTAAAAATTTACATTTAATTAAACCTTCATTGAACATTTAACGATAATAAAATGCTTTATCACAATGCTATTTCCTGTACATATTGTTTTATGCATAATATTATAAATGTTTATATATTTGAGCCGCGGAAGATCCTTAGCAGTCAACCACAAGGTATCAGTTTAATTTGCAAATCAATGTCTTAAGAGTCGGTGATAAAGGTCACATTGCAATCTATGGTATTGCATTAAGGTCACATAACTTATTGAATTGTGATGGGTTTAGCAGGGTTACGTCAGTTTGGCCATGTGCAGTGTGCACAGACTTTGTTATGGATCCGTTTCTGGGCTTAACCAGAACCTAAAATAAAAAAAGGACATAATATATTCGCGAAATATTCCTAATTTATTTTTATTCTGCATTATTAGTATAAAAACTTATTATATGATTGTTCTCGCACAGGTACTGGTTACATCCCACACATCTTTTGGCATTGTTTTGAGTTCCCAAGTTCGGTGATTCATCCTCACAATGAATCACTTATTTCTTATTAATAAATGGCTTTTGTGTATAATGCTAAGGATATTATATCAAATCTGTAATTAACACACTAGTAAGACTTGTGAATTGTGAATTGAAAAAGATAATATTTTTATGTATACTGTACTGTCCCACATCGCCACAGAACGAAAGGCAGACATTTCTGCGTCCGTTTCATTTATCATTTGTTTATTTATATATATGTTTTAACTGCGCAGCTTATAGTCCTATCCTATAAGCTGAAATTAATTAATATTAGATGAAATCATGTTTTAGGTTTATATTGTCTACATAATTTTCGCTGCAATTTTCGTAGGCAGTCGCCTATGTAGGATAACAAAATAATCAATGTTCGTTGACATTAGTTTGAATAATAAAGCGCTTTTTGGTTTATTATAGGAATCATATTTTTTTTTTGATAAGGTAATTTGAACTTGTCGGCCCATTGAAATCACAGTATGTACATATGTGTGCTACGGAGAGTGGCAGTATCTAACATACGTCTTATCCGTCAGTAAATTAGGTTTACTTTAGACATTAGAAGATTAGAAAATCCGCTGCAGCTGAAATCGATTTCGGTACGTTGTACATAAACGGCTAGACTGTCGGACCCCTACTTCGTTAGGGTGAGGCGGATGTACTTGGTGCACCCTTGCTCAAATATATTTGCATTTGTATAACAATGACTATTTATTGAGATATAACCCAGGGGAAAAGTTTATATGTGATTTGTCTCTGTTAAGATAAATTCGTTCATGCGTTAAGAATGCATTAATCGTCACATCATTATTAATGACGTAGGCCGGTGACACACGCAACAGGGTCCCAAGTCACGCAGACCGGTGCTCAAAGTATCCGCCAGTCGCATTGCTCGCGCCGACCGCGATACACGCTCCAAGTACCGCGCTCATCCCGACC